TATTTTATAAAACCCAATTTCAGAGAATTGTCTTGAGAATTAAAACTGATAGTACATATGCTACATTTATTCACAAGTAAAGCTTCTTTTTTTTTTTTTTTGAGACGGAGTCTGGCTCTGTCGCCCGGGCTGGAGTGCAGTGGCCGGATCTCAGCTCACTGCAAGCTCCGCCCCCCGGGTTTACGCCATTCTCCTGCCTCAGCCTCCCGAGTAGCTGGGACTACAGGCGCCCGCCGCCTCGCCCGGCTAGTTTTTTGTATTTTTTAGTAGAGACGGGGTTTCACCGTGTTCGCCAGGATGGTCTCGATCTCCTGACCTAGTGATCCGCCCGTCTCGGCCTCCCAAAGTGCTGGGATTACAGGCTTGAGCCACCGCGCCCGGCCGTAAAGCTTCTTTACTAGGAAATGCAACTCTAATAGGAGGGGAAAAGCTTTTCTCTATATTGATATTTTGAAGTGATTCCAAAGGACTTTCAGTAACTCATTAAATATTATGTCATATGTTTTCTAGAAATGAAAAAGTACAAAAACAGGATACAAGAGTGGTGATGAAAGGGTCCTTTTAGAGACATGCTCCTCGCTGCTGCATTAGGACGTGCAGTGTCGATTACATTAGTCAATTCTCCTTAGTACACTGAGTTTAGTACATTGAGTTTCTCCTATTACAGGAGGAAGGGTAAGCGCTTGGTATTCATGCCAGAACCCAAACCTTCATTATTACTAGCTGTGGCAAGCAGGTGAGTTACTTAGATTCTCTGATGTTATAATCCCTATCTAATAGAGTTGCTGACAGGATTAAAAGAGAAAACATTCAGGCAGATTTGAAAACATAATATGACGTTCTGTTGTAAAGAACATTTTTCTAAAAAGTATCTAATCAACTCATTCTGTCAATAGGGGTTACAAATGAAAACCTAATTGTCTATGGCCATGTGGTTTTACAATTTTTTCTAATAAAAATGTTTGCTTCATAAATAAGACAAATAGATATTACTCCTTAAAAAAATATGCTGTATTAAGGATATGAAGCCATATTGAGGCAATGGCAAAACAGATCTTTATTTTAATATTAAAAAACCATCTTAGTTTAATTAATAATCACATGGCATATTTCCAGTTCTAAATGTTCAGCTTAACAGTAGAATACTGGGTAAATTAAAACAACTATCTATCTCTAGCTAACCAACAATTACTCTACATTTCTTAGGCTGTTTGACTTCAATTAGCCTGTGAAATGAGGCTGTTTAGGCAGTCTGAATCATGTTACAAAAGTTTTGTTCCGTATCCTGGTAGGTTCCCATTCAGGTGCTTGGATATTAGTGATGACAGTAGTTTCTATTTTATAAAAATGATCTAAGGTGCTCTTATTTAAGGACATTTTATTTAACAACCAATAGAATTTTTGGCCATATCACCTTTGTGACACTTAACAACATAATTTAATGTTAATAAGTAATATTACATTAGGAAAACAGATTTGATCAGTTAGCTTCAGATCAATATTACTGTAATTTCACAGAATATATTTGATTTCAGAACGAATAATTTGTTAACCTGTAGAACACTTAAGTTTATCCAAACATAATCTTAGAAGTTAAGATAAATTCTCATTTGCCTCAGGACCCAGACTTCATTGTGAACCCCATCTTACAACTGGCCTTTCTTATCTGTTGGTAACTGCTGTGGATGACTTACAAAATTACAAATATCACTCTGCCTCACTTAGTCTGTACCAAGTTCCAGCCTCAGACTTTTTCCACAGTGGTCCATGGTTTCCCTGATCCCAAGGCGAAACTATAATCACCCTATCACTACAACCAGTTTTATTTTCTAAACTATCGTGGTCATGTGCAAATATTATATTTGAAATAAATTCATCAGATATGAACTAAATTGTTTTAAAAATAGTTTAATGAATGATCCTCTAATAGATTTTAAGGTAAGAGTTATAGACATATAGAAAAACAAGGCTGGGAAGGCCCTTCATAGAATAATCTAATCCAAGTGCTTTTCTTTGGTGAAAGAAATTGGAACAGGTGATTAGCTATTCTTTCCTTAAGGTCTTACAAAATGTTCCATAACTCTCTTAGCAATCCAGTTTAGTATTTAGTCACACTGATGATCAATATACTCTTCAGGTCCATTTCTTCATCACCTAGGACTAAATATTTTTAATATTCTGCCTATACTGTGTTCCAGAATCAGGTTCCTCACCAGGGCTGGCTCATAATAAAGCTTGCACAGGTCCATGGAGAAATGTGAAAAACAGGCAAAGTAGTGAAATTTCCATACAGATACATTTATACAGTTGAAGGAGGTGTCCTTTATTATACAATTAAGAGCTTTCTATTTTGAAAATATTCCTTATTTTATGATATGATAGTGCAAACAGTCATTTTTTTCAATGCCCATATTTAGGCAAATGTGAATCAGAAGCTGACAACCATCTATTGGTTCTCATAATTTTTTAAACTCAAATTTTAGGTTATTCTCTGGTTTGTAACACAAGCTCTTCACTGTTTACAAAATTATTTTATGAACTGTAAAAATTCTCTCTTCATGTTTTTTTCCCTGTATTGCCAAGTTTTTCTCCTGTATTCCCCCATTCAATGTTGGCTGCCACAATCAGACAGGAAACGCAAGGACACTTCTTTCTTGCATCTGCAGTGGAAATCTTAGTGGCAAACAGTAACTATTCCAGGTCTGTCAAATAGATGCATCTCATAATTTAAAAAACTTTCCTGGTGTATGAGATCCCAAAGCTTGCAAAAATCTGGAGAGAGAAATCAGTTTCTGGAAAGATTATACTTAGGCTCAGAACAAAGACCACAGAAAGCTAAATGTCTTTAAAACCACAAGAAAACATCATCCTTAAGTGTGTTTATTTTAAATTAAGAATATAAAAGTAAGAATTAAGCTTTCATTAAAAGTATCATAGATTATCTTGTTGCTCACTTTATAGAAAAATATTTTATAATGAATGGCTGAAGACACTATTATTATACAATCAGCATCTGTATCTGTTAAAATAACCCTGAATGACCTATTCATTCTTTCTATAATCTTTGCATAAACTAGAGAAAATATGTAACACATCAAGTTGCATTTCTGTCTATAGAATGAATTTTCAGATAATGTTTACAAATTAATTTCAAAGTTTAATTTTTAGGACATTTTTGAAATTATATAAAAATTCACTTTTTCAACAGGAATTCCAAAAAAATCTTAAACCTCAGAATTATTTCCAAATTTAGAGTATAAGTTTTGAAAAAAAATTTTTTCTAACTTAGAAAAGATTCCATCTAGTAACTAAAGCTTAATAACCATGATTGGGGCTGGAACAGGAAGTTGAGGAAAAGTAACATCAGAGAGAAAAATATAAAGATAAAATATTCTTCACTTACCCGGCAACATTAGGCATATCATCTTAGAATTGGATATTATTCAAAATTTATCTGCAACATTTCTAACTTTGGGTTACTAAAGATTAAGTGGTGACTTCACAAACTATTAATTTTTGTGCAAAAAATATAATAATTCACTACCTAATTGTATTATGTACATTACTCATCTAAAATAAATCTAATGTCAAAAAAAATTTGGAAGCATCAATTTAGTAAACATATTAGCAAGTAGTGAGTATATTTCAATACAGTGATTAGAATTGTGAGAAATGACATGTCATAACAAATATGAAATTCAGATTCCAAAAGTAACATCACTATTAAGGTCCTAACTTTATTTTATTATCTGTAATTTAAAACCTTACCATAATAAAAATAAATAAAAATTTATTTTTAATAAATTACTATAACAGAACATACAACTACAAAGAAATTCCCAAGTTATACACTGTAAATATCACAAAAAAAGAATTATCAATGTCATGTAGAAAATAGCTTGAACAAAAAGCTTCTCCAAAAGAAGGCATTTCAGGAAAAATGTCGATTTTAGATAAATATAGAAAACATATATATAAGAAAAATTGTTTGTCCCTGAAAATGAGCTAAAAATAATGGAATATGTTGCCATTAAAAATGTTAAGGTCAGGCCAGATGTGGTGGCTCACGCCTGTAATCCCAACACTTTGGGAGGCCGAGGCGGGTGAATCACCTGAGGTTAGGAGTTCGAGGCAGTCTTGCCAACATGGCAAAACCCCCTCTCTACTAAAAATACAAAAATTAGCCGGGCATGGTAGTGGGCGCCTGTAATCCCAGCTACTCAGGAGGCTGAGGCGGGAGAATTGCTTGAACTCAGGAAGCAGAGGCTGCAGAGATCGGGCCGTTGCACTTCAGCCTAGATGACAAGAGTGAAATCCGTCTCAAAAAAAAAAAAAAAGTTAAGGTCATGAAAATATAAATTACATTAGCAGAATCCCTTTTTTTCTACTTAAAAAAATTATTTCATAGACCAGAAATATATATTAAGTATAGAAATAAAGGGTGAGAATCTTTTTGGGTTTTTTTTTTTTTTTTTTTTTTTTTGGAGACAAGGTCTAGCTGAGACCACACCTGGCTAATTTTAGTAAAGTTGGGGTTTCACCATGTTGCTCAGGCTGGTCTCAAACTCCTGGGCTGAAGAGATCTGCTTGCCTTGGCCTCCCAAGATGCTAGGATTACAGGTGTCAGCCATTGCACCAGGCCCCAAAAGTGAGAATCTTAATGGAAAGAGATGCAAAGCCACCTGACACGAGGTGTCTAAGAGTCAAACTCATAGAGGCTAAGAACAGAATGGTGGTTGCCAGGAGCTGAGGGGAGGCGGGAAAGACGAGTTACTGTACAGTGGGCATGAAGTTTCAGTTATTCAAGATAAGTTTCAGACATCTGCTGTACAATAGTGGTGCCTACATATAAAAATACTGTATTATACACTTAAAAATCTATTAAGAAGGTAGTTCTTATAGCAAGTATTCTTACCACAATAAAAAAAAAAATGAACACTAAAAAAATTTCATTAGTCTCCACAGAAAGCAGGGAACAGAACAGTGGACTCCATCCATACCTGTGAGAACCACAGTGTGCTCTCCGCCACAAGCTACTTGGATCACCTTCTCAGGAATTTCAGACACCAGCTGGGGTGTTCTGTGATTGCTCAGGAGCTGATTAGGAAGACCTAACTTCCCATTCTCAGGTTCTCCAAACATATATAGCTCACCATCTGCTATTGAAGGAAAAGTACAGTGATTAGTGATGACATACATATGAACAAAAAGCTGATCTTACCTTCAAAAAAATGTTTTGACAAGGATAACTTAATACATTTGACCTTTCTTGAGATATTTTCACTGTATGATAAGGAAATAAAGCTAGATTTTCTTTTCCCCTTGATTATTTTAATCCAGTAATTTTCATGAAAAATTCATGACTACCACTACTAATAAACAACTAGAAATCATTTTAGTGCTTTCACAAAAGTGAAGAATATCTTGTGTCTTCTACTTACTTAAAGCTCCCATAAAAACACGAATTTTGTCTTGCTCCCTACGGTATCCCCAAAACCTAGCAGTGTCTAGAACAAGCACTTAATATTTGTGGAATAAATGAATAAATAATTGCTTTATATGAAACTGGTTTAGAAAACTCACTTATGTGTGTAGTAAATATGTTAAGTAAATCCTAACATAGCAGATTTTACCCATTTAGATGGCATTTCCTCCAAAGACGCTTACCAAAGAGTTCCTGACACTTAATCACTGCCCTGTCCATACTAACACTATTAATTTGCTTCTTTGTTACATTTATCACACTGTATTATGACTGTGAACTTCTTGAAAGCAAGAACTTTCTTATTCATTTCTATGCAATTAACTGAGTTCTATAAAGTAGAATTTAAAAATCTTGTGTAAGTATATGGTCCAATCTCAAGAATGACATAGAACACATCACCATTGGTATCAGCAAAGAGACAACAGAGCAGATCTGCTTGCTTATTCTTTGTAAGTCTCTGAGAGAACCATGATTGATCCTTGCCCAACCCCTGAGAAGGTGGCCCCTGGAGTGTTCTTTATATGAATGATTAATGACTTTGTTATATATACCAGAGCAATGAACTATGCCAGATTAGGTTTCTCAGGGCTGCTTGCACAAACATTAACATTGATGATGCGCACCTGGCTTCATTATTGAGGGTCCTGAGTTTCAGCTGCTGTGGCCAGTTGCTAGCAGGTGGTGCCTATATGACCAGCCTGCTAAATCCCCTGGAAGCACCAGAATGGGTTTCCCTGGGCAGAGACATTCCACACATGTCCCTGTAGTTCACTGCTAAAAAGAAAACATGCCCTGTGTGGTTTCCTAAGAGAAAGTACTAGGAAGTCCAAGCACGACTTCTCTGGACTCCACTGTAGATGCTTATCTTTTCCCCACTTTTTCTTTTTGCTTTGTATCCTTTGCTGTAATAAATCTTATTCATAAGTATAATCTGCTATTGAAGACTGTGAGTCCTTCTAGAAAATCACGGAACTTCGGGAAGGTGTGGGACAGCCAATGCACAAGATATGCACCACTTGAAACTTGCTCAAATACTGTAAACACAGCTATATTGATTTTCTGAATTGATCTGCACAGAAAATGAAGTTTTATGGACCACAGTTTTCTATGAAGTATTTAGCGAACACTGACACAAAAGTGGTGCCCAGTAAGTTAGCACCCTTCCATTCTCCCATGCTTGTTGCCTCCCATAGAAACTGGTTCCTAAGTCCTGATGAGTCTCTCTCCATTTCTGTCTATAGATTCCTGATTCCCTTTACACCTTAACATGAATTTTCACCTGGATCAAGTTTCTCAAATGTCTTTCCTACCTCTAGTCTAACATATCCACACAATATCAGATATATCTTCCAAAAACAAGGCTCTAATTATGACACTTCCAAATAAAAAAAAAAAATACATGTATCAAGTATAAACTGCAGACTGTTACAAGAGACCTTCCATATTAGGTCCCCGGACTACTAACCAGTCATATTTCTATCTACTCCCAAGCTGGTGACTCTCTTTTGAGTCACATCCTCCCTTGAGAATTTGATGACAGCTCTATAAAAAAAAGTACACATCCCAGCAGGGTGTGATGGCTCACACCTGTAATCCCAGCACTTTGGGAGGCCGAGGCTGGCAGATGGCTTGAGTCTAAGAGTTTGAGACCAGCCTGGGCAACATGGTGAAACCCATGTCTCTACAAAGAATACAAAAATTAGCCGGGTGTGGTGTCATCCATCTTTGTCCCAGCTACTCAGGGGAATGAGGTGGGAGGATCACTCGAGCCCAGAAGGTCTAGGCTACAGTGAGCCGTGATTATGCCACTGCACTCCAGCCTGGGCAACAGACTGAGACCTGGCTCAAAAAAAAAAAAAAAAAAAAAATGCACCTACCAATTTTAGCATATCATTTTAGGGGTTCACATTAGGATCCATGATCCCTAACCTCTAAACAAACTCAACTATGCAATAATCTCCAAATACATGATTTACTTTTCTGTCTCTTTATCTCTGCACATGTTTTTGTCTCTGCCTGGATTGTTCTTCCCTCATCTCTGTCTCTCTCAGAGTTGCTTCCATCTTTCATGGTTAATCTCAAATACCACCCTTTCTCTGAAATATGTCCTGATGTCCTTAACAAGAAATAATATTTTTTCTTTCTTGATCTCATGTAAGACTCTGCTATCAAATGTCTTATGTTACCAATCATGGTCTGCTGTATATTGCAGTTATTGGTCTAGCACAGTAGTGAAAAGTATGTGCTACCGAGTCAGACTGCCTTGTTTGCATCTGGATTCTGCCACTTACTCAATCATACTGAGCAAGTTGTTCAATCGCTAGGCCTGTAACATGGGGATAAAAGTGCCTATGTGATAGGGTTGTTTCATAGGAATAACTAAATTAATGCATTCAAAGGCACTTAGAACACAATCAGTGCCTGGTCATTAGTAGCTGCTACCACATCCTCCTCTTCCTCTTGTACATGGAGAGAAACTGCATGTCAGTAGAAGTTGTTCTGGCTTTTAGAGCTGGAAGACTGGAGTTCAAATTCTGATTCTGCAACTCAATTGCAGCATCACCTTGAATAAAACTGTGTTTGAATCCTGCCTGCATATACGGAATCAGAGATACCACCACCTCTCTCTCAGAGTGGTTGGGAGATTAAATGAAATCTATTTGTACTTGAAAATGCTTTGTACATGGAAAACTATACATCCTATGGTTTGACTGTAAACTCCAGAAGGGCAGGTACTACATTTTAATCAACTTGGTATTGTAAGAAATAGCATTTAAAATGACTTTTACATAGTAAGTTGCTGAGGTTTCTCACAGTGTCAACTTTTTAAAGTAAAATGTTTTACCTATAAAGCAGGGGTGTCCAATCTTTTGGCTTCCCTGGACCACACTGGAAGAATTGTCTTCGGCCACACATTAAATACACTAACACTAACGATAGCTGATGAGCTAAAAAAAGAAAAGGTCTGTGCATAAATCCCATGTTTTAAGAAGGGTTACGATTTGTGTTGGGCCACATTCAAAGCCATCCTGGGCTGCGGGTTGGACGAGCTTGCTATAAAGGGTAAGAAGATATTTTCCTGTAGCTTATCAGTAGGACCTTCCTTAAAGGGGAAGGTGAGTGCTTTTAATCCATATAAAATGTTTTATTTAATTTCAAGGTCTTTTCCTTATTTATATATAAAAAATAAAATAACATTTATCATGAAGAACAAATAGGTCATTTCATATCAATTATATCTACTTCACTTAGGTCTATTAATTTTTATAAAATCTGGATTCTTCAAACTACCTACCTGGCTCTGATAGCTACCTTCCCCAGGATTCTGATCTTAAGCACACTGCCAAGTCTCTATTCTCCAGTCTCTGAAGATTGCTCCACAAATTCCTGCCCCCAGTTCCCATGACCCCAACTCATTTGCTTATATCCCCTATTGTACTACACCTAAATCAGTGAATCATTGGTTGAAATGCTCAGACCCAACCATTAACATATCAGATGAAAAGACACAGAAATCAGGGATAATACCTGAAAACTCCATAGATTTTACCTATAACATCTAAAAATTGAATATTTTATATAATTTATAATATGAACTTGAATTGAGAACACGAATTTAAAATACGAACATGAGCATTTAAATATACTAGTAGGTGAAAAATCTGTAGGAAGTCTTAAACATAACTATCTTAGTAATATGTTCTGCATTTTTATTAGGAAATAAACTATTCTGTTTGGAGGTTCCTCAAAAAACTAAAAACAGAGCTACCATATGATCCAGCAATCCCACTGCTGGGTATATACCCAAAGAACAGAAACTGGTATATCAAAGAGATATCTGCACTCCCATGTTTGTTGCAGCACTGTTCACAATAGCCAAGATTTGGAAGCAACCTAAGTGTTCATCAACAGATGACTGAATAAAGAAAACGTGGAGCTGGACGCGGTGGCTCAGACCTGTAATCCCAGCACTTTGGGAGGCCAAGGTGGGCGGATCATCTGAGGTCAGGAGTTCAAGACCAGACTGACCAACATGGTGAAACCCTGTTGCTACTAAAAATACAAAAAAATTAGCTGGGCATGATGGTTGGCGCCTGTAATACGAGCTACTCAGGAGGCTGAGGCAGGAGAATCACTTGAACCCGGGAGGCGGAGGATACAGTGAGCTGAGATTGTGCTACTGTACTCCAACCTGGGCAAAAGAGCAAGACTCTGTCTCAAAAAAAAGAAAAAATGTGGTACTTATCCCCATAGAGTACTATTCAGCCATGAAAAAGAATGAGATCCAGTCATTTGCAATGACATGGATGGAACTGGAAGTCATTATGTTAAATGAAATAAAACAGGCACAGAAAGACATATACTGCATGTTCTCACTTATTTGTGGGATGTAAAAATCAAAACAAACTCATGGAAATAAAGAGTAGAAGGATTGTTACCAAAGGCTAGAAAGGGGAGTGGGGTGTGTGTAGGAGGGTAGGTTAATGGGTCCAAAAATTAGAAATAATAATATCTAGTATTTGACAGCACAACAGGATGATTACAATCAAAATAATTGTACATCTTAAAATAACTAAGAGAGTATCATTGGATTGTTTGTAACACAAAGGGTAAATGCTTGAGGGGATGGATACCCCATTCTCCACGACGTGATTATTACCCATCACATGCCTGTATAAAAAATCTCAGGTATTCCATATATATATACATAAAATGTACCCACTACATATATATATATATAATGTACCCACTATATATATATATATATATATATATATTATGTACCCACAAATACTAAAAATTAAAAATAAAGAATCTGCTTTTTCTGATCTACAAATTCAACAGAGAAAAAAAAATGCTTTTCTATGTAACACTTTCATCTATCATGAAATACATATTAAGTAAAACCCCTTATACATGAGTTATTTCCAAAATTTGTAAAAAGTTGCTTTAAGTGATTAAAGTCATAAAATAATGGCTAGTGTGAAAATTACTGACAGTTCATATCAGCTGATGTAAATGAATCTCAGCAAAATGCTCGGTATAAAAGTTCATTTTATGTACAAACCTGTGAATATGCTAAAAAACATTCCATCATCTACCTTAAATGGGTGAATTGTAGGGTATGTGAATTATATCTCAATAAAGCTGGGTTTTAATTTTTTAAAAAAGCATAAAAACACACCAAAAAAAAAAAAAAAAAAAAAAAAAAAGCTCAATATAATGCCTGTTGGTTAAGATGAACTATTCCACTTGTTCACCTAATGGCTAATGCAGAGTTCATTCACACAATTCATTCTGGCACTTTTCTTAAAGTCCAAATACAAAACAATGCTTTTGCTTGGTATTTTTATCATTTGGCTGCCTTTTTTTTCCCATTTGTGTTTTTGTTTCCTGTTTTTTGTTTCATGAACAAAGCAAGTACAGACTATACCAACCCCAGGAGCCAAAAGTTGCCAATAAGTTGGTAGGTAGTGTTGCCCCAAGGAATGCAATCAATTCATCATTCATTCACTTTCTCCTTCATTCAATAATATTTATTGATTATCAGTTTGTTCAAGACACCAGGGATGCAGTGGTGAAAAATACTGACAAAGTCAGGTTTACTCTCTCTTGGTATCATGCTGCTGCCAATTCATTGGTAACTTTGGGGGGCACTGAGATGGGTGAATTACCACTTTCTAACCCCGAGTCTGTGGTACATGAAATAAAGAGTAAATGCATAAAATAAATCTTTAAAGATTTGTCTAAGAGGGTCCATAAACTATTTCCTCTAGGTATTTTTACTATTAAAAAATCCCATCAATTAGATGCAAAGTCATAATCACACTTCCTCTGTTATTACTAGGGTAGATATAGACTATAACAGCTAGAGCCCAACACTTCAAATATTTTAACTAAGATAGAAAAGGTTGCCAGTAGGTCCAGGAAAGGGAGAAGTTGGGAATGCTGAGAAAGTCCTCCCAAAGGAAACCATATCCCACGCTGAGCTCTCTATATTCACCTAAAAAGTGATCATGTCAGACACAGTTTGAAATTATGAACTCTTATTATATAAATGGGGAAATACTGTGACCTAAAACAGACCAAAACAATTTCATTACATGAACAACCATGGCATTATTTCTATAGAACCAGAGAATATGTTACATCATTTCATTATTAATTTAATAATAACACAGAAGTGGGAGATAACATGATGACTTCAAAATGTGTCTTACTTGTTACAAAAGCTGAATGGTAATATCCACAAGAGATCCAGGAGACAGGTTTTCCAATGGTCACTTGATGAGGGACACAGACATTAGTTACATTTTTTAAACCAATTTGCCCTTCGGAATTGTCACCCCACATAAAAAGTCTTCCATCCTCTACAAAGAAAAATACAAGGGTGAGAAAAGGTTTTAAAAGGTAGTCAGGCTCTGAAGCTATTATACTTCCAAAAGACCATTTATTTTATAGTTCATAAAAATTATGTATCTTAACAATAAAGTACTACTAAGACATTTACACCAGTTAGCTACTTAAGAGTTCAATTTATATTGTGAAATACTTCTATAATGATAAAGAACACAGAACAGCCTGATTGTAAATCACTTTAGTCCTGGCCATATTTTTATCTCAATAGCAAAGACAGAATGCCCTTTCCTACAATCACCCTTTCCCATTCTAATGTCTCTAAACAGAAATGTTCTCCTCCTTCCAAGCAGTCTACCTGCAACTGAACTGAAAGACAGCACAGGTCACATTAGACACCTGCAGGTCAAAAAAGCCTGGAAGACCTTGCTCTTGAGAGCGCTGTGGAAATGATGTTTTGGAAAAAAGAAGAGAAGAAATGTATTCCACTACATATTTTTTTCCTTACAATTTAAACCTGAAAACACAGAAGCTAGCCTTAGAGGATGAAGATATAATATCATGTAAAACATCTCAAAAATAGGTAACTTATATAATTTCTGATAAGGGTTTTGATGTCAGAAAAAATCTAGGAAAAATATTTTAGAAAGGAATTCTCAAGATTTATTTATATATTTTAAATAATTTAAATTTTGAAGTGGTTTAGTAATGCAAAACAAATAAATGAAAATAACAACTGAAAGGATGTCAAAATGCTAACTTAAGGGCTGACAAAATCCAAAGGATAGAGCTTCAGATACAACTCTGACTTTCCTGATAGAGTAACACCGGATGCTACATAGTCTCCTGCTTGAAACAAAGCAGCTAACCAGCAACTTCAGTGAGATCAAGCTGATCTTGGCTCCAAATTTTAAAGAAATGTCTCATATGGGCTTTTGGTAGGGAGGGCAGAGAGGTACAATGACTGTTACAAATCACATTTTAACACCATATGCTGCAATAGATTTCCGTGGATGTTTCTGATAGCAACTTCAGCTAAAACTGTAAGTAGAACTTTAAGAGCACACAATGAAAATAATATTTAAGAATATCTAAAGGAGTAGATGGAGAGCATAGCTTAGAGCTTATTTGCCAATTACTTTTTAAATGTATATTTAAATAAGCACAAATAAGCATAAAATAAGCATAAATAAGCATAAAATTGCAGTATGTCAAGATTTAAAGTTATATTTTAAATGTTTTCTGAAAACACATAGATAGTCAATGAAAGAAAACTAAACAGCAATGCTCCCTTCAGTTTACTGAGTTGGCATATATTGATCTACAGGAAAGGAATGTGTCCCAGACTGAAAAAGAAGCCTCACCAGTTAGGGCAGCTGAAGTATTAGATCCAGCAGAGAGCTGTTTAATCTTATGCTCGGATGTAAAAAAGCTAATTACACGAAAAGTGTTTCTTTCTTCAGTGTCACCCAGCCCCAACTGTCCTTCATCATTTCCACCAGTTGCATATACATTGCCTCCTTCTGCACATGGAAAAGAAAACATCAACAGACTATAAAGTCCCCCTTTTTATGAGACAGGTCAGTGCATAGCAGCGATTTCCTCTTTTAACAGTGAAGAAAGTTGAAAGCTATCATTATCCTATTATTTGGGAGACAACTTCATTTCATCGTCAAAATACAGCAAAACAAGCAAGGTCACATATTTTTGTGAGATGTTAGAAATCAATCTAGAATGTAACTAGCAACTGAAATGAACAGAATGAATGGAACGTATTTCTTGCTAATATAGTACTTTATTAATTCAGAGTAAAAACAAGGAAAGTAACTTCCAAACTAGTTTAAAATGCAAATCTATTTTAAAAGAGATGTGTCCATTAATTTTAACTTCTGTACCCATTAAAGCTAAGATATAGTATAAATAAGTAAAACGAGGCAAATCCAAGAAGAATCTAATTAGAAACATGATAATTCTATGTTGTATTCATTTTAACTTCCTAGCTAAATAAGAAGTCACTATAGCACTCTGTTTAGGAGGAAAGACTCCAGAGCCAGACTGCTTGGGTGCAAATTCTGGCTTACCACTTACCAAAGCTGTGGGACCTTGGGCAAGCCATAACCTCTGTGTGCCTCATTTTCGTCATCTATAAAATGGGAATAATAATAGTACCTACTTCATAAGAGTTGTTATGAAGACTGAATTAGCTGAGATTTGTAAAATTCTTAGAACAGCATTTGGCTCATTTAAAGTACGTAAAAATGTTTGTTAATTACTCTGTTAATTAAATAAAAAGTACATCATGCCTAGATTATACACATTTCCAGTAAGCTGTAAATTAATGAAGATTTTTAACACATAATTAGTTAGCTACGTCATAAACATATACACGAAGTTAAAGCCTTGCTAAATTATAGGGTGAAATGAGGGCAGAATCAGCCTGAGTTAGTAAAAATTTTAAAGTTATTGTTATTTTTATTTTTTGTTTTTAAGAAAAGAGGAAACCTAATTGGGGAAACAAGATTAGCTTTCAAATGGAAAATACATACAAGGTCACAAGAAATTGGAGTGCACAATTTAACACACATGGAGCAAACCAGAGTTGGTGAGATTGAAATAATTCAAACAAATAAATGAACACAAAGTTGAACAGTTACAAAATGTTCCATGGACGAACTAACACTTAATGGGATCTCAAAAGATAATCCGAAAAGCCTAAGAGAAAGAGAAAAGACACTTCAGAAAGGGAAAGGTATGGAGAGGTGGAGAGCAGCTGACACAGTGAAAACATCCTGAAGACAGAATAAGTGGTTGGGGGCACGGGGCAGGGGCAGAGGGAAGGTGGTAGGAAGAACTGCTCAGTGGTCAGGTCCTGGAGGTCTAGTTGTTACCGCAGCATTTGCTGAAGATACTACTCTTTCTCTATTGAATTTCGCATCTCTGCCAAAAATCAAGTGGGCATATATATACGGGTCTACTTGCAGACTCTATTCTGTTCCATTAATCTTTGTCTATCTTTTTGCCAATACCACACCGTCTTGATTACGGCAGCTTTACAGTGAGTCTTGAAATCAGGTAGTGCCAGTCCTCTAATTTTGTTATTTTTCAAAATTGTTTTGGCTCTTCTATGTCAATTGTTTTCCATATAAATTTTAGAAGCACTTTGTTAATTTCTACAAACACACATACACACACAAAAGCTGGTATGGGTTTTGATGGGAATTGTGCTCGCTCACATCAACAGCCTTCCGGGTGCCTTCCACTCAACCTTAGTAAGGAAGAGTTCTAGAAGAGCAAGAACAGGAATAACCAGCCCCTAAGGTGGACACACAGGTTAGGAGATGCTGTCCCATGATATAATCCAAGAAAAGAAGCTTTTTCTTCAGCCATTTGACATTTATGTGTATATTTGCAAAGGCAAATGTGTACTAGCCATTGACATTTTCAAAAACCCTAATTTTACTGTTGCCAAAGCATAATCTCTATTAATTTTACAAAACCACGTTACTGGAATGAGACCTCAGTTCTCAAAGTCAGGCAGGAAATCATACAGGTTGAGCACTATACCTGTTGACACCAGGGTGTGGTTCCTTCCACAGGCAGCTAATTTCACCTTTTCAGGTTTTAGAGCTAAAAATATTTAAAAATGGGACAATTATTTTACAGCAATGAAAATGAACAGTAGTCCAGGACAAATGGTAACAAAGTGATAGAACCGAGATTTAATAGCAGGCTTGTCTGATTCCAAAGTCAATGTTCTTAAATAGCAAACCAGAGGTTTTCAGAACTGGTTGTGTACCATCATAACCAGTGGAGCTTAAATACAATATAGATATCTTAGCCCCATCCCTAGGGAATCTGAGTCAGTGGGTCTAAAGTAGGGGCTAGACATCTATATATGTATATTTTTAAACTCCACAGGTAGGCCAGGTGCGGGGGCTCACACCTATTATCCCAGCACTTTGGGAAGCTGAGACGGGCGGATGGCTTGAGCTCAGGAGTTCCAGACCAGCCTGAGCAACACTGTGAAACCCCATCTCTACAAAAAAAACACAAAAATTAGCTGGGTGTGGTGGTGCATGCCTGTAGTTTCAGCTATTTGGAGAGGGGGTGCTGAGGTGGGAGGATGGCTGGAGCCCAGGAGGTTGAGGCTGCAGTAATCAGAGATCACGCCACTGCCCTAACAGAGCGAGACCCTGTCTCAAAAAAAAAAAAAAAAAAAAAAAAAAAAAAAAAAAACAACTTCACAGGTAGTTAATATGTGCTGAGACTCACTGTATTCTATTATGCTTCCTCCTCACCAATCTGATCCCTAACCTAACCTGCCATCACCGTTATCAAGCTCACCTTCTACCACATTCAATGAAAAACTGAAAGACCAATATTGATAGGTATACACCTATGAATCAAAGTTGTTCATTCATTCATCTACATATTCAAAAAACATTTAAAGAACATCTCCTAAGTGCTTGGCATAGGGGCTGCAAAAAGATGACTAAGATAGAATTCCTGGTCTCAAGGATCCCATAGTCTAAACAATTCTGTTAGCTTCTCTATTAGATAAGATATTTGAGAGTAAGGGTTATGGTCACTGTGAATATCCCCAAGTGCTTAGACTGTACTCAATAAATACTTTTTGAACACATGGAATACTTTAAAAGTTCCATAACAATTCCCATAAACAGCATGAATATGACAAGCTACACTGATATTTTGAGCTAAAATTAAAATTTAGCCAGGAAGATAAAAAATACTGCTCTTACTACATCTCAAGGAATCTCCATCATCCTTTCAAGTTTAGCTGATGTTCACAGGTTATACCCAAACAGAGGTTTTGCATATAACATCCAGAAAGCTTTGTAAGGGTATTATATATCTAACATTTTCTGGAACACTCCTGATTTCAAATATTTTGTCCTGTTGTTCTTTTACACTAGTACTAATCAATCCCTAGTCTCGATGTTTTGTTTACTTCACCTAGTGACTATATAAAGCGGATAAGTATGTTTTATAAAACCAGCAACTAAATAGAAGCATAATGTCCACAACTCTATTAAATGAGAAAAGCTCAAAATTCTAACATACGTTTGTTCTCTGTATATACAATAACAGTAATATGTAAGTAGTTTTACAAACAAGCAAAAAAAAAAAAAAAAAAAAAGGAGGGGGGGATGTTCAAATGCAATACTGTAAAATCATTACTTCCTTTGTGGTGCCTGGACTTAAAATCAATCTGATTTTTAGACCCTAACATACAAAAGCAGTTTTGAATATCATATAAAAGATAAGTTAAATGCTAATAATATTCAAGCAAATGTCAGAAAATAAACAACTAAAGGCTTTATTATTTATGACATTAAAGAACTACACAGTCAACATAAAAACACTTTATACAGTTTGTGAAAAGGTAAAAAGATCTCAAACATTTGACACATGTTGGCTTGCTGATGGCTGACTTTGATCCTAATCCTAACTGACCCCAGTTGTTACTACCAAACACGTAAAGTTTATTATTTCCTGGTGGGATGGAAAAAGAAATAATCAACTGAAGCATTTTTCACACAATGTAAAATGAGTCATCACAAAGCAATAAAAAGCTATACTTTTTAAATGTCACTGCTTTTCTGTGTTGAAACAAGTTACCTTGTTCATCTATGTATAACCAGATTCTATTAGGTGGGAAAGAGTTTCTAAAATTATACAGTAACCGTTTTTTAATTATATTGAAATAGATTCCTTTCAAGAAAGTTGTGTGTATAGAAAATCATACTTAAATATACTAAAGAAACTTAAAATTTAAAAGACACTCCTGATGACTTATTTTGTGAAGAATTCTCTGGCAAAGTAAAAAACAACACTTATGATATATTTTCAACATGTTTAAAACACAGCAGCGTATCTATAACATTATATTTAGAATTTTCTAAGTATTACTGTCCTCATTCAGGATTGTAATACTAACTGGTAACAATAGCAGTATGTTCATCTCCACATGAAAGATGTACAGGGACATCATTTTTAAACCAGAATTTACTGGGATTATTTTCAGCAAATTTACTTTTCCCAAATGTAAACACAGCACCCGAATCTGCAAATATAAGATGGTCTCTATTTTATAACTTTTACTATGTTGCCTGTTATTTAAATACCTTTTCAGTAATTTATCCATACAAACCTCTTGTTTCATGACAGCTTTGCCCCCACTCTGGCAATGTTTAAGCCTTCCTTCTTCCACCTTAATTCAGTCTTTCTTATTCCTCAGACTCCATTATAGTTTTACCTCTGAAATCTACTAGATTGAACATGTATTACTCATATACTGGCACAAAGTAAGAAATACACTATCACAAGGAAGGCAGTCATCTATTACTAATAGTTCTGCTGTCACCAAGTAGATGTCTATTCCCTGGAATGAAATGGTACAATTTGTGCTAGTCTTGCTCTGGTTAACAGCTCATGGTCTGGCCTCTGACTGAGAGCTTTTCTCGAAACACAAAAAAAGGACAGTACTTAGCTTCCTCATTAACTTCATCAGGATATCTATGGGGAGAGTCTCTATCAGTCAATTTGGATTTTCTCTGGTCCAGTTTTTCCAAGGAACCTCCAGCGTTCTTATGCAAGGGAAACGACGTTAGCCCAAATGGTGAAATCTTTTTATTTTTGTTGAGACAGGGTCTCACTCTGTCACCCAGGTTGAAGCGCAGTGGCCCAATCACGGCTAACTGCCGCCTCGACCTCCTGGGCCCAAGCAATCCTCCCACCTCAGCCTCCAGAGTAGCTAGGACTATAGGCGTGTGCCACCATGTCCAGCTAAATTTTGTAATTTTTGCACAGACGGGGTTTTAGCATGTTGCCCAGGCTGGTCTCAAACTCCTGGGCTTAGGCTCAGGTCTCAAACTCCTGGGTTCCTGCCTCGGCCTCCCAAAGTGCTGGGATTACAGGCGTGAACCACGACAACTGGACAAAATGGTGAACTCTTACTTTCTCTGTTGGTAATCCCAATGAATACCCATAAAACCAGAGACAGCACAGAGAGAAACAAATTACTCCACCACTATCTCTTTCATTTGAACCAAGGGAAAGCAGCTAGGAAAAAAAAAAAAAAAAAAAAACAGGCTTTAAAGGCAACTAGGTATTCAAAGGTTGTTGTAAGGATTAAATGAGATGACATGAATAAAGAACTTAGCTCAGGGCCCAGCATCCTCAAAGTGGTAGCTCATAGCTGCCTCTGTAAACTCTTCCTCCACCATAAGAGTTGGAAATGATCACTGGCTTCTCTGAACTATGTGATTTGTAGAATTTATATGGCAAATAATTGTGCTACCTAGCAATCTCTCTAATTAAACTGTTACACAAATCAGCAAAATTACAAATCTCAGCAAGATTTGTGTAACAGTTTGATTAGAGAGCTTGGTAGGTAGCATAATATGTAAGATGAGGTCCTCACAAAGCAATAAAAAGCTATACTTTAAAAATGTTGGCCAGGTGTAGTGGCTCACGCCTGTAATCCCAGCACTTTGGGAGGCCTAGGCGGGTGGATCACTCGAGGTCAGCAGTTTGAGACCAGCCTGGCCAACGTGGTGAAACCCCGTCTTGACTAAAAATGCAAAAATTAGCTGGGTATGGTGGTGGGCACCTGTAATCCCAGCTGTAATCCCAGCTACTTCGGGGGCTGAGACAGGACAATTGCACGAACCCCAGGGGTGGAGGTTGCAGTGAGCCAAGATAGCGTCATTGCAGTCCAGCCTGGGCGATAGAGTGAGACTCCGTCTCCAAAAAAAAAAAAAAAAAAAAAAAAGTCACTGCTTTTCTGTGTTGAAACACAGAGTTCACCATTTGTTACCCCAAATGTTGTTTTTTTCCAACTATTTTCTAAGGTTACAGAGGGTATAAACTGTCTGCACTACCCATACTGCCTAGCACAAAGTAGCCATTGTGTGTTCTACTTTTCACACAGAAAGGGTCCCCCTTACACACATGTATATTCGTAACTGTTCAATGTTTTGTTTAGGAATTCATCATAATGGTGAGTAGGTAGTCAAATATAACTTTCGACATTGTTAATATAAAAGACAGGTTACCCAAGTCGTCAGCAAAGGAGCACTTCAGCTTTTCCTGATTTCTGAGAATTCAGAATGTTTAGGGATCCAGTATAAAATGAAAAGATCCTCTCAACACAGCTACTCAGGAAGTTTCTAATTCTCATCTTACTCATGCACTACAGTCAGTCATAGAGATGTCTTTTTCTCTTTCCAGAAACAGTACATGGGAAAGGATGGTTTATCTTTCCCCCCAAAACAACATCACAAAATGCCACGGTCCTAGGAGATTGGGAGAGGAGTACACGGGGATGTTGAGATTTAACATTCTTACATCAAGTCATTACCTGATTTGAGTAGTATTCACAAACTGTTGTGGCACAGGATCATTTTGAAGAGAGACTAATTAGCAGTTCCCAAAAACCATTTAAACACACACATATACCAAATAGTAGGCCAGGTCCAGCTTCTGGGGAAATCCCAAGGGGGGTGATCACACATAAACTAATTTGTACCAGAAAGGAAAACATGGCGAATATAAGTATTAATAATAAATATTAATATGCAAGAGACTAGCCACTGTGGACAACTTTTTGAGAACCATTGTGAGGCATCTCAGTTCGACTAGGATCTAGAACAGACTCTGAGTTTCCCCAGAATGAATTATTTTAACATTTTAACTGTTTTGTCCTGGCTCCCCTGGCTTCCCTGATACCCTCATCCCAAGCCAAGGTTTGGTGGCTCTGCTCTGGCCCTGTAACATCTACTGTCAATTTGTATGGTCATTTTGTTCACCTTCCTGTATGTCTCACTAAATTGTGAACTGCAGGACAGGAATCTAAGTTCCGGCCAGGAGCATGGAAGAAAACATACATATTTCAGTGAGGGTATAATTCTGCTCAAACCCAGTGTTTTTTCAACATGGTCGTGACCTATTAGTGGGTCAGAAAATCAATTCAGTGGATCACGATCAGCATTTTAAAAGAATGCATTATCAAAAAGCTGTGTGCGGAATCTAAGTGGTTAGAACAAGGACTGCATCACGAGACATCTATTTCTGTTACACGGTATGTATGGGGTATTGGGTCACAATGTCAAAAGTATTTCTAACTATAGAGCTCAGAAAAAAAGGCTAAAAAACACTCGCTAAAGGGTCCCTCTTCTTCCTCTTTTCCAATTTATTTCCTGTATCCCCTTTTACCCCACAACCCTGATCACTCACTCTTTACCGCATTCAATACATAACCGGGAGCTCAGGACCTCCAAAGTGCACAAGTCTGGAGTCTGCACTTTGGGGAGTTTACAGATAGGTAAAAAGTGTCCCTGCCTGGCCGGGCGCGGTGGCTCACACCTGTAATCCCAGCACTTTGGAAGGCTGAGGCGGGCTGATCACCTGAGGTCAGGAGTTCGAGACCAGCCTGACCAACATACAGAAACCCCGTCTCTACTAAAAATACAAAATTAGCCAGGCGTGGTGGCGTATGCCTGTAATCCCAGCTACTCGGAGGCTGAGGCAGAAGAATCGCTTGAACCCGGGAGGTGGAGGTTGCGGTGAGCCGAGATAGCGCCATTGCACTCCAGCCTGGCAACAAGAGGGAAACTCCGTCTCAAAAAAAAAAAAAAAAAAAAAAAAAAAAAAAAGGTGTCCCGCCTTCAAGAATCTCATCAAAAGCTTATTTTAAAAACATAAGAAAGTCAGGCACCCTCTTTCCCGTTCTCCTCCATCCTGTTCTTCCCGTGCGGTCCTCTGCTCTCAGTCATTAGTGGGAGCGCAACCAGCGATCCCGCCCCAGTCCGGCCGCCAAGCCTCGGGCCTGTCCCCTCACAGGGCCGATCCGGAGGCGGGGCCCGCCCGCCCGCGGACCCTCCCTCCCGGCCTTCCGCCACCGGCGCGGGCGCGACTCACCGGGCAACAGCTCTTCGGGCTCCTTCATGCTAAGGGCGGTACGGGCAGCCTGCGCCTGGGCCAGGAGGCTGTAGAGGACGGTTTGGTCGGGGCTAAGGCAGCTACTCCGCCCCGACGCGGGCCGCAAAAGCCCCCCAGTTCCGCATGGCGAAACTCCGTGGATCAACTACAACCGCGCTCCCGGAAGTCAACAAACAGCCGCTAGGGGCAACGGGGGCGGAGCTTGGGAATGCAAGGCGGGGCAGGCGCCGCTGGGGAAGGGAACGGAGGCCGGGTGGCTAGTAACGGGTAGACTCAGGCACAGCGGAGGGGCGGTAGAGACTACGCGCCCTCTGGCGGCCTGGAGCAGAGAGGCGGCCACGCCGCGCAGTGATGCCCTGGAGTCAACGCCCTCGTGCCGCTGGAGGTCCAGGCGCCGCAGGGACCCTGCCATGAGTGGCAAACGTCACAAATCTCATACCCCGTGACATAAGCAAACATCGACACATAATTATGACACTACTAGTAATAGTGACCAGCTGAAACATTAAAGGAGATAAGCACTCTGCTAAAGGCATCCCCAGCATCTAAACCAAGGTCTGGCCTATATTGAATGCTCATTACGTATTTATTGACCAAATGAGTACTATTACAACCCTGTAAAGTGGTTAATGTCACCCCTGTTTAAGCATGTGGAGATTATACAATAAGAGATCTGGAGTCTAGCGCAGCTAGTCCAGCCTGTAGTCAACAGAAAGTAAAAGCTGAGGTGTATGTGGTCCACTACTCACAGAACATGCACAAAGGGGTTCACCAGCAGCACAACATCATTGCTGTAGAATTTGCTTAGCGATGTTATATGATGCAGGGCTTCCCGTGCATCAACATTTGGCTATCATGAAATAAAGAAGCAAAAAGCCATCTTCCAGGATGAGCAGATTTATGTACACTTGGTAGTTGTGGACATGAGCTCTAGAATCAGACACAACTGGATTCAGAGATCCCTGAATTACTCGTGTGTGTTACCAACTCTTTCTCAGAAAGTTTGCATTAACATGAAGAGGGGACATTAAACTATTAGTTACACAAATAATCCTTTACTTACAAAGCAATCTGGAGGTTACGAAGGAGGTGTTTAACAAGAAGCATTGACCTGGTGTAGAAGGTTAAGAAAGGCTTATCTGAAGAAAGAACATTAAATCTAAGAACTGGGGAAAGAGAAGCCAGGAGGGGGAGAGAGCTCTTGGCAGAGAGTAAATTGTGTATAGAGGTTTGTAAGGAGCTTCACTCTTTAAAGGAACACCAAGAGGCGAGGCTGGTTCCTAGCAAGGTGGCAAGGTCTTGGGCCTATTAAAGATCTGAGATTTTATATTAAAGGCACTGTGAAGCCACTGAGAAGTTTTAGGCAGTAGAACAACAGAACAGGATCAGTTATGTGTGTCCCTGAAATCATTCTGCCTGGTCTGGATGCTATGTAGAGAATAAACTAGAGCAGTGAGAAGGGTTCAGAGGCTATTGCAGAATTTCAGATATGTGGTCAGGATGACTGGGAGTACAGTTCATTGGTGCCAGAGAGGAGTAGAAAGATTTGAAAATATTTTAGGTTGTAGAGTCAACAGGAAATGGTTTCTGACTATTGACTCCTAGACAGTGCTGGACTACCAAACAGTTCTAGAACAACAGCAAAGATGGGACCCTAAATTATTTTGAAAAGGATTTGATATTCATTTTTAGAGCATCATAATTGTTACTATGGGAAAATTGGAATTTTTAAAGATTTACTTTATGATACGCAGTCTTTTTTTTTTATTTCAAAATACAGTAAGGCACATTTTGGTGCTAAGCATCCCAGAAGATATTGATGCAGCCCTACTCCAAGGTTTCCAACATAAGCAAATAGCAGGAGGGGGGCACCATTTACTGAGATGGGGAACACTGAAGAAAGAGCTGGTGACATTGGAGTTAGGTAAATGGGGCAAGAAGAGCATAATGAGTTCATCCTTGAGCACACTAAAACATTAAATGGGAGGTGCTGAGCAGGTAATTGGTGAGCAGAAGCCCCAGAAGAAAGCACATATTCGAGGAATGACTGGGTCTATATAGTGAAAGCAGGCTTGAGATACTTGCAACACTGGAAAGTGACTGTAGAATTGAGGCAGTAGAATAGCGTTGGGAGTCAGGAAACCTAAGGCCAATTCATGCTGACTTCCTAAAACTAAATCAAAAGGAAAACCCCAACTTTCCACACCTAAGTAACAAAAGAACCAGAGGCTACTCCCTTTTCAACCACGACCCCCTTTTTCTGCGTGCTAGACGGAAAGTTGAAAGTATCTCTGATTAGTTGCTTTTTGCAACCAATCAGACATTTGCATAGGAGTATAACGCCGTAACTTCACTTTAGCCTCTGATTGGTTGCTTTCCACAACCAATCAGATGCTTGAATAGGGTGTAACCTTTGTAACTACACTTCAGCCTCTGATTGGTTGCAAGGCCACTACTTCATTTACATAGTAACCAATGGGAAATGTACCAATGGTTACTTGGGAATGGCACCAAGTAACCAATGGGAAACCTCTAGAGGGTAATAAAACCCCAGAAAACTCTGTAAAGGGACTCTTGAGCCCCTGCACTAGCGCTTGCCCCCACCATGGGGTTTTGCCACATTGCCCAGGCTGGTCTTAAACTTCTGAGCTCAAGCAATCTGCCCACCTCAGCCTTCCAAACTGCTGGGATTACAGGCGTGAGCCACTGTGCCTGGCCATCTATACTATTGATATATATGATCCAGAGCTATATAATATATATTGCAACCCCAGGCCATGAATTGGCACTGGTTCATGGCCTGTTAGGAACAGGGCTGCAGAGCAAGTGAAACTTCATCTGTATATACAGCCACTCCCCACCACCCAAGCTCCACCCCCTTGTCAGATCAGTGGTGGCATTAGTTTCTCATAGGAGTGTGAACCCTATTGTGAACTGCACATGGGAGGGATCTAGGTTGTGTGCTCCTTATGAGAATCTAACGCCTGATGATCTGTCATTGTTTCTTATCACCCCTAGATGGGAACCCTCTAGTTGCAGGAAAACAAGCTCAGGGCTCCCACTGATTCTACACTATGTTGTATATTTGTATATAACATAATGTATGCCAACATACATTTGTATATTTCATTATATATTACAATGTAATAATAATAGAAATAAAGTGCACAATGAATGTAATGTGCTTTAATCATCCCAAAACCATCCCCACCCCTCCCCTCACCCCCCATCCCCGGTCAGTGGAAAACTTGTCTTCCACAAAACTGGTCTCTGGTGTCAAAAAGGTTGTGGACCACTGATATATATATATATATGATATATATATAGCTATGCTGTAGCCCTAGATTTTATATATATATATATATATATACATATATTATATATATAAAATATAACATAATGCTATCGTCTATCTCAGAAGGTGGTTGTGAAATATTAGGTAATGCATGCAAAACTTGTAGCTTGGTGCCTGGAATGATGGAGCACTCAACAGTGTTAGCTATTAATAAGGCAAAGGCAGCTCACTGTATTCGTCAGCATAACCCATGCTATGCTGCAGCTCAAACAACACCCAAATCTCAGTGGCTTGACACAAAGAAGTCTCTTTCTCACTAATGCTACATTTCCAATGTGAGTCAATTGGAGGATCTGCTCTAGCTGCTCAAGCAGGGGCTCAGGCTACATATGGAAGTTCAACTACCTTGTAGCAACACCATATACAACTCATGACCTCTTTGGTTGCTGTAGCAGGGCAAGAGAGAGAGGAAGTTAGAAATGAAATGTTTAAGGCTGTGCACGGTGGCTCATGCCTGTAGTCCCAGAACTTTGGGAGGCTGAGGTGGGTGGATCGCCTGAGGTCAGGAGTTCAAGACCAGCCTGGCCAACATGGTGAAACCCTGTCTCTACTAAAAGTACAAAAAATTAGCTGGGCGTGGTGGCGGGTGCCTGTAATCCCAGCTACTCGGGAGGCTGAGGCAGGAGAATCACTTGAACTCGGGAGGCGGAGGTTGCAGTGAGCCGAGATGGCGCCACTGCACTCCAGCCTGGGCAACAAGAAGAAAACTGTCTCAAAAAAAAAAAAAAAAAAAAAAAAAGAGAAATAAACTGAAATAAACTGAGAAATAAACTGACAAATGTTTCAGGCCACAAGTAACATGTTTCTCCTTCTCACAACCCATTGGCTGGATTTAGTGTCACGTGCCTCTGTGCACTGCAGAGAGGCTGGGAAACGTGGACATTCAGTAAGTAGTAAACACCTCTGCCACAATCCCCGCAGTCAGATGGTTTCAGCCTGTGGAGCCACCTCCCTCGTGTTGGAGAAGGCAGGTATAATTTTACATATCTTAACGGTCATGCACGCTTTTGATGTCCCCTTCATACACGGCCAAAAATTCCTCTGCTCCTTAGGAAATCATGTTGATACACAGAAGCCATGACACGTCTGACAACATGCCCAAGTGTTGGCAGTTTCCTCTATTAATTCAAGTTGTTATTCATTTCTGGAGCATTTTATGTCAACTAGGAATAGAGGCTTATATGAACAAGGAAGACGTTTGATGGATTATGCTTCCTAGCTGTATTTGTTTCTTTCTCAACAGCATTCAACAAAACGTCCAAAGCTTGCAATTTTGAGTTGCATTACAGTGCAGCTGCCGTCGCTGTTTATTTCTCTATGTGGAATCAGATAAACAGGTGTGTCTCTACAAACTCCACTGGGAAATCCCATAAACATATATATTTACAAAACAGATTCTAATTACCTCTTTGATTTCTAAACTTTTTTAGTGCAGTTCTAGGATGTATGATTTGAGGACTCACAGGTCCAAAGCCAGGGAGTTTTATTCATGAACAAGAAACAGATGGCAGGTACAGTCTACTGCACATTTCATTACGCCAGAGAAGAAATTTTGCACTTTCCTTCCTCAGGATAGAGTTTCTCTTTTTTTTTTTTTTTTTTGAGATGGAGTCTCGCTCTATTGCCCAGGCTGGAGTGCAGTGGCCGGATCTCTCAGCTCGCTGCAAGCTCCGCCTCCTGGGATCACGCCATTCTCCTGCCTCAGCCTCCCGAGTAGCTGGGACTACAGGCACCCGCCACCTCGCCCGGCTAATTTTTTTTGTATTTTTAGTAGAGACGGGTTTTCACCGTGTTAGCCAGGATGGTCTCGATCTCCTGACCTCGTGATCCTCCCGTCTCGGCCTCCCAAAGTGCTGGGATTACAGGCTTGAGCCACCACGCCCGGCCAGGATAGAGTTTCAAAAGAAGAATTTTGAGGTATCTGTGACAGTAGTTGTATGAAGAG